AAAGTCACTGTAGGACAGCTGGGGAAGCCACGCAAAGCCCCAGGGCATTTCTGATCCAGGAGCACTGCTGGACTCTCTGCCCTGTGCAAGGGAATTCCTTGGAAGTGCCACCAGATCAGCTTTTCAGACTTCAAAGGTTAGGCTTTCTTTCAACTTCCTGAATGATAAATTGGATAAGAAGCCAAACTTCAGGGCCTGAACCATGGGATGAAAAAAAAAAAATAAAGACACTGGAAGCCAATAAAGTTGTTTAATCTTAAGGATGGGAATTTTTTTTGTCTTTCTTTTTCCCCTTTAAGATGACTTCCAATTTACAGTAAGCCAGTTCTAACAAATTCATTCCTGGTTCACAGAAAAGAAACTGTTAAATATTTCTGCCAATAAATGACATTTTCCCACCACTGTCATTAATAATAACAAAAAAGCAGGAAAAAGGCGGCAATCTCCAAGGGAACAGGCACATAATTCATTATTCAGGAGAACCTAAAAAAATACTTGTATCACTACCTAGTCTCGTGTGTTCTAACCAAGTCATTCAGGCAGGTAAGTTCATGATCCCCTTGGGATGGAGCTGGCTGAAAAGTCTATTAGAAAAAAATCATAGTGCACAGGGAAGGGATGAGAAAGGTGTTCAGGATGGCATCACTGTAAAGGTTCTCTGGTAGAAGATAAAAATGTACCTTTGTTCCCCAAGCCCCATTGCAAGCTCCCTCCCTATTACATGCACTTTGCTGTAACATGCAAAAAAGAAAGATTTAGGTAACTTTGAGAGTGACTGAGGAGGAAAGGGACGGACTTTAAAGTGTCATTTGTTGGCAATGGTGAGGTTGCCTGTAGGTATAAATAAATCACTTAAGCCAAGAAGACTCTCCTGAGGGTTTGAAGGAGGGAACCCCAGAACCACTCTCAACAAAGTTTGACAAAAAGTCCTCTTTGTCCAGGCTGTGGAGAGACACAAAGCTTTGAGCTTGTCTGATGAAGAATCTTGTACCCAGTGCAGGCAGGCATTAACCATGTAACTTTTGTAATTGGGTATGAAAGGTGGACAGTGCTTATTTTTCTTAAATGAACAGACTATCCCCTTATTCTCTCTTGCTGGCTAGATACAGGTTGGTCACAATTCTCAAGAAACGATATCGGCAGGCTGCTTTTTACATATACTGTCAATGGCCCAATAACCTACAGTCAATAAAGTTCTCTATTGTTACCCAATAACCCGAAATTCTCTGCACAGCCCATTCCTTCTTTCCTTGGCTTCCTCTGGGGGAGTTTACAGAGAGTTAATGAAGGGGCTAACAAACAGCAGAATGCTTCAATATTATTCTCTAAGTTGCTATGGAAAACTTCTCTCCTTATTCTGAGAAAGAGAGAGAGAGAGAGAGAGAGAGAGAGAGAGAGAGAGAGAGAGAGAGTGTGTGCGTGTGTGTGTAAACAGCTAGTAAATACAAAGAGAATGGGATAGTTGTCTTTCCTGGGCTGTTCTTTGTTCTAAAGACATGTATCCACATTCCGTTTTACAGCAGGAACTCTAGATTCGGGGTATACCTGACTTTCAGACAAAGCAGGGCTTCTTGGTTACTGCTACTGATATTAGTAAAATTTTACTAAGGTTAAATTTACTAAGGCTAAATTTACCCTCATACCTACTACTCCAGGTCCCATAGCTCATCCCTCCCTCTGAAACCCTGTCTAATTTGGGTGGGGTAAAGAATGTTTTGAAAGAGAAGGAACTTAGGTTTTAGTGTTACCATAGCAACTAGAACTAATGTTGGGAAATACCAGGATATTATCTCAATAGGCCTATGCGGAATAGTGAATAAATTTCCATCACAGAGAAGAGAGGGAAACACCTGATAATTAGCACATAGGAAATCTATGAATTCGTCACCCTTCCGGCTCTGGGCAGCATGTCAGGTTAGTACTAGCATTCAAATGATGTCTTCTGAGTGAAAGCCCTTGCTTCCTAAGTAAGTCTGATGACTAGTGTCCACTTAAGTCCTACCTAATGGTATGCTGGTTTCTCCTGTTCAAGGGGGTAGTTAATAATTAAAAGTCTAAACAGTAACCAGTCAGAAACCTTGGACATAAATTGTAATTTTACATAAAATAAAGATGGGTCAGAGGGGACAGATTCCATATATACTTACTACACCCTGAGAGATAATAGAGGCTGATAGGTAACTACCACTAGATTCATATATACTCACCTCTACACTAAGTGAAGTTTATATTTTTTTGTTGTAGCCTTTTGAGGTTCATTAGTCTATGTAGCTCATTAGAGCTACAGGGGCTTTGATCTTAGTGTTTCTGAACTCATTTGGAGAGGAGGGAGATGGTAAGGGCACTTCCAAAGTTGACAAGTTCCAAAGTTATCCTGTTATTTAAAAAGTCTCCTTCTTAGGCATATATAAAGTGACATTTGTCAAAACAAATGCTTTTCTTTTCCTGTTTTGAAAAATGCTAGGACATTAACTTTTAGGATGAAGAAAGACTATCCAAGCTAGAGAAACACACTGGCACTGTCTCAATGGCTCACAATTAGAACAGATCAAATAATGTGTGATGTGTGACGTGTGATGTGTGTGTGTGTGTATACACACACACACACACACACACATATGGGAGTTATGGAAGATACTGATATTCACTGACACCAGGCCTCCAAAGCCATAAACATCTGACACCTTTTCCCCCCCTTTTAAAAGATGCCTTCTGGTTACCACATAGTTAGCTGCCCTATGTGTCCACCTGGAAGAGGAGCTATCATCTTTATCACATTTTCAGAAAAAATCAGGCTGTTCTTATCCTGGCATACAACTCTATTTAAAAAGCATCTATTTGTTCCAAACTTGATCTTTCACAGACTGTGAACAGAACCGAAAGGAGAATTTGATCCATATGATATTTCAGCTTTAAAAGCACATAATTCAGAAAAAGAAAGGAGACCTTGCCTGGCTGGAGAGATGAGGCTAATAGCTTTTCTTCCAGGGCGAGAGAAGTCAAAGAGAAGTCTGTTCACCTCTTCTGGAGTCTGCTAGGGAAGCATTCTCGGTACAGTCACAAAACAGGAGAACAATGCTACCACCCTGAGGAGAGTGATGGAGCCATATTTCTGGATTGCTGGAATACTAGTTCAAGAAATAAACTGATAGTATGAGAAAAATCAAAGCAAAAAACCATTTGGTCTGTTTGGGAGCAACTTTTTAGATGGACATTTTAAACGTATTTTCATCCCGAGTAAAATGTGGAGTCACTAAAAATTTCCCCAAGTTATTGGTCTACAACTCTTGTTATGGTTAAAAGTGAAATTGCGTGTACCAGCACATGAATTATCTGAGATTCCTACTTTAAAGAAAACTACTTGTACTACTTTAAAAAAAGAAACCCTATCCCCAACCTCACCCTGGTTCTGCCATACAGTCTTCAGAGTATACCACAAAAGAAATTACCTTCAATATTCTATCAAGTTCACATATCTCTTCATTCAGAAGCCACAATAATTTCCAAAACAGCTGAAAAACTCACTCAGATCTTTTTCTCACATGTTCACCTTGCTGTTAACCAGAGAATGGATCAGACATCTGAGTAGAGATCAGTACCACTAAGCTCTATCAATGAAAGCTGGCAACAGAATGACACCCAATTCATGGTACCCTCTTCAAAAAGGGCAGGTGCAGTATTTGCAGTAACTATTACCCAATGACTTACATCCCTCACTCTTTTTTGGGGCGTGAATTTCCTGTGGCTATGATCCTGATGAACTAGAGAGGAAGGGTGAATGATTTTCATTTTCAAATACATATTATCTCTCATTGTACTTTCCAACTTTATTAGCTGAGCTCTCCCAAAGACAATGATCCTTTCCAACATTGTGAAAAAAGGTATGAAGATTGTCCAGTTGATCAACTTTCTCAAAGGATTTAAAAAAAATATTGCTTTCAAGTGTCCTCCCCCAATTCCTTAACAAAATTCTAAATCAGAGACAGAGAGACTCTTTATCTCCCTTTTTACGCTACTTCTATCATGTTCACACCAGCAGAAAAATCCATGCCACAGCATTTAAACTGTCAAATACATCCTGATGATCTTTGATTGTCATAAAGGAGAAAACTGGATATAATCAGTACAAATATTAGGGGGAAATGGCATTGTCTAACGAAAGTAATGAATTTCCTTGTATTCTCCCACCTGCCCTTGAAATCCTCAAAACTGCCAACATATCATGTTACTATTGTTTAAGATACTTGCATCCATGTTAAGGTGACACTGACTTAACGTACCAGATCAAGGAATTTCTGAAATTTTTGTTTTTTAAGTACTGATGAGAATGTATCCATCAGCAAGGCTAAGTAATAGCTATTAAAGCAAGACACCAGAGACCATTCTTTTAGCCAAAAATAGAAACTTGAAGGATCCTGCAAAATATGTTTACCAGTTGATGATGAACTCGAAAGTCACACGAGTACAGACAGATGGAAAAAGCTGTCTGCTTATGATATTAACTCTTGCCCTTGGGTTCCAATAAATATTAACGATCACACAGAATTCAACTCATCAAGGGTCAGGTGGTCAATTCAGAGTCTGGTAAAATCTCTGAACTTCACCAAACCAAAGTTGTTTGTCCAAGTTTACATTTCATAGGGGGGGATCCTGCAATCCTAGATTAAATTTCCACTGTCCCAGTTTTCATCAGAAATATAAAAAAATGTTAGAAACAAATAAAGGAGGATGCCCAGAAGGGGGATAGAGAAGAAAAGGACAGTGATAGAATAGAGAAAAGGATTTTAGTTGTAAAAATGTTTTGAAGAGGGCATTTAGAAAACATTTAGAAGTACTGTTTCTTCGCTGAAGGAGCAGAGCAGCTCATGTGGAGCATAAAAATGGAAGCAGATGTCTGAAAGTATTCAGTGACAGGTAGTTACATGAGATTTTCTAGAAACTTCTCCCTCCCCAAATCTTAAAAGGACGTCTTAAACCAATCACTCCTCTACTTCAATTGACAAGTTTAAGTAATCCTAACAGTATCCTTTATTATGATGATGATGATTATTTTTGCTCCACAGGATTACATTAAAAGGAAGAGTCCAGAAGAAAGTAGGCCATTATGGTAAACATACCCTTTGGACCTTAAGCTATTCCTAGGATTGGAGTTATCTACTTTAAAGTTAAACCCCAATCAAGTTTTCCACAATCAGAGAAACAGGTTTAGCTTACCATAATCTATCAGACCTTCCCAAGAATTAGATGCACCTAGGCAAAAAGTAGTTGAGCTTAAATGAAAGATGTCCCTTTCAAAAATGAGAGGACTAGCTGACTGGTTCAAATCAGAAACTCAGGGTTGTAGTTTCCAAAGGCCCTCTTATACAAAGGATGGAGGAGTAGTGGACAGGTATCACCTTTACAGCACAATACTTCATGTGTATACCATCAATCAGACCAATTTCTAAAAACGTTTACAAAGAAAAGAAAAAAAAAGATGGGACTTTTTATATTGAACATAAATTAAAAAAACGTACAAAATGGTCACCTTTCTTACAGAATAAATGCAGACTGCATCATGAATGTGCCTCCAGGTTTCAGTTTGTTTTTTGTTTTCCAATAATAAATAAATAAAATATGTTTTTGAGTTCTGGATCCATTAGTGGTAGCACAGCAGCTGCTCGGAGCCATTACTGGCTTTTCTTGGCTGCGTCACCCTTGTTCACCGAGCGGGTTGTGGTCGACACCAAACTCATCGGCACTGCCACCGGCCCATCAGGGTAGGACTTATCTCTGCGGGGGGGCATGCGCTCATTAATCCGGTCCAGGCCCCGAGCTTCCTCAAAGCTTCGGATCTTGTGTGGGGGTGAAAATCCTCGGATGGCTAGAGAGAACAGGAACAGTAATTTTAGTCTGCAACAATGTGGGGGCTTGAAAAACAGCCTCCTGGCCACACACTAAACTCTCCTAAAGAACAACACACAAGGAACTCCTGAGCACATGTCTGGTGGAGGGGAAAAATGGCATGAGGAAGTGGGCCAGCTTTATTTGCCTTGTTAGAAGCATCCTTAAAGGCCCAAAGGTGTTTGAACTGTGAAAAAAATTTTTCTAAAAATTTGAATGAATTAATCAGTGGCAGTCACAAATCTGGTGAAAGGTTGACAAATTTTTTTGCCTGTAATATGTCTGGGAAAGGGTTGCTCATAGGCCAGAAATGTGCTCAATGTTCTTAAAAAATGGTAAGGACAAGTTAAACATAGGGTGACTACTTTAAAACACAAACAGCACACATGATGATACAAAGGTAAGAAAAGAGCTAATTTTGGATCAGAAAAGTGATTTTACCTTTCACAACCAGGAGCCGAACACAATTTTGGCAACTTAAATGAGATGATTAAGAGACGACAAAATGGCTTCTTTATATTTCTTTTAGCTTAACTGTTATAAAAGTCAGGCAGAAAATTGTACATGGAAATGTATATAGGAGCTCTATTTCTAACTCAACCTCTTAGTTCCTTAACCATCAAATCAAATGATCATTTGAGTTTAACAAATTTTCAACAAAAAAATTTCCAAGTTAAAGGATTTTTTAAAAATCTATCTAAAATTATATACTTTTACTTAATACTTTCAATTCAATTTAGTTTATTTTCTTTGACACTGAGAAAGATTATCTTGAATGCTGGGGAAATTTCATGAATCAATCTGTATATTTTCTATTTATTTTACCTTTGCTCCTAAAAGTCTTAAGAGATATAGAGTTAAAGGGTTCATGTAAAAGAATTTCCCAGAAGCCATTCAGAGCATAATAGTACTAAACACATGGCCTAGGGATAATAGAGACACTAGAACAAACTATTAGAGATTTCACTTGCAGAAAAAAGCTGCCCAGACACTCAAGCTTCTTCAATTACATAATACTGATAAAGAGCCCAGTAAGACTACATCTCTTTTGAGGATTATATTCAATTACTATAGATGCAGGCCACCAAAGAAGATTCACTTTATGAGCTTTTCTAGAGAAGCCTCTGCTCCTTTCCTCACTATTCCAGTTCTGGTGATGCAACAGCACAGTATCTTAAACATCAAAAAAGCTTTTTAAAATTAGAAGACAAACAAATGATCACGGCTCTTGGATGATTCTAGCCATACCTTCCTGTGCCTCTACAGCTTCTATTGTGGCTGTAAAACAGCAAGGGCAGTGGCATGCAAAAATGAAGACAGAAAAAGAGTGAGTAAGCTGACAGCTTTGCTGCCAATGTTGAAACCCCAGGTTCCCATCTTCCATCCTTCAATCTATCCATCCATCTGACCATCCATCCATCCATCCATCCATCCCATCCTTTCCTGTCAATAATAAAGACCAATTGGAAAAAGAAGTGAAAAGAATACTAAGTGGATGAGCTAGAATTCGGTTAGCTGTAATTTTCTTAATTATTTAAAACTTTTTGGAAACTTTTATCACCAACATTCCTTATAATTAAGCTACTGGGTCTGAAATACTGATAACGAGAATACAAGAAATAAAAAACAGGGTCATCACCTCACTTTGAAGACTCTAAGGAAAAGAAACTGTGCATTTGTTTCTTGAGGTCTGTCAAGTAAATGCCTGAAATTATTTTGAAATAATCTAGAAATGTCATAAATGTCTCAATGTGTATAGTTCACCTGAAGTTAAATGAACCCTTGTGTTCCAATTCAACAAATGGAGTACTGTTGCACCCAAGGCCTGGGAAAGACTGCACCAAGTCACCTGTAGAAAATCTAATTGTTCTTTTCTCACTCAAACAGGCTTGCCCTCAAATAACAGAGCAGCATTTGGAAGGAAAGAAGCGAGTTACCAATAGGAGCTGCTCTGTCTGCCTAGTCAGGTGGTGATGTAAATTCTTGGTATGCTTTGGGTTTGAAGCATAACAGAAGCTGACATTTCAAACCCACGTGGTTTCTAATCATTGTGGAAGAGGGCTGACTAATTGCCAAGAAAGCCTTTTGCTCCCTCATTGTGATGGAAAAGGGGGATAATTTAAAATTCAGCATTAACAAACTGGAGTTCATGGAGGAAGTAACAACTGTGAACCACTAAAGGTTGTTGGGATGTGCTAGGGGATATAGCATATAAGGAAAATTGGGCCTTTTATTTATTACATATGTAAGAAGGGGAAAATAAGTTAATTAACATCCCACAGCACCTAATGATCTCAGAATCAATAAAACAAGACAAATGGGGAAAATTAATATTCCTTTTTAAAGCAATGTGAAAATCCACATTGAAATGAATAAAATGCATGGTACTTGCTTATCAAAGTTTATTAAATGCTTATACCAATTACCAAAAACACACAGGCACAAGCTCTTAAAATCTTAGCTCTTAAATACAGGAATGTCTTAACTTCTCTGGTCTCTTAAAATTTAAAAATATGTGTCCCCACTGACAGTGCAATACAGTTACAACTTCCTATTTCTGTTACGAAGTGGAAGTGGTATTATAGAAAGTAGCCCTCTGCTGTAGTCTTTTTCCACACTGTCTGAATCCACATGGGGCTGGTCTGATTAAAGTGGTGGGTAAATAGTGCTATGTGTTAAAGTAGGGTGCTGTTTGTTCAAGCTGCTCAGATAAGGATATGATAAAAATGACAAGCTCTAATTGGTGATACCAAAGTTTGTAAATGGCTTGAGCTGGTAGAGAAAAAAGACTCTGGCTAGCTAATTACAGAGAGAGTAATAAGTTCTTCAAATGCCCTAGCTTTAACTACAGTATTATTTTCCTATACAATAAATCTTTTTTCTACAATTTCCTCAAGGCTCACATCAACTCAGGCAGCCCAGTGTTTATCTAAAAAGCAATCTCTAGGAAGGGGGCGCATCTGAGGCTACAAACATATGGCAGATAAAGAAACTAGCAAAATAATAAGACCACAAAATGGTATTTGCCATTAAAATCTAGACTCAGAGATGGTCACGCTTCTTTACTCAGTAGAAAAGAAAATCTTATTTTATGTATATTGTCTAAAGGAGACTTGATTTGTTTGAAACCAAAACAAAAAATACTCAAGAAAAGCTTCATAGGCTACTAAATTCCCAATCTTTTTTTCTGCAAGGATGCTTGTAATTGTTCTTTTTTTTACCCCTGCTTATCTTTTTCATCACTAAATTAATTTCTTTGTACTCCAAATGTAAACAAAACAAAACAAAACAAAATCCTTACTGGAGATGCTCTGGGTAGAGCAAAGAGCACTGGATTTCCAGTAAAAGGACCTGGTTTCAAATCCTAGCTCCTTAAAAAATGTGTTAAGTGACCTGGATAAGTCCTTTCACCTCTCTAGGTCTCAGTTTACTTATATGAAAAATGAGGGGGTGGATAAGAGGATGTCTAAAGACCTTTCAGTCTTTAAATCCTACAAATCTGTTCAATGAAAAATTATGCAGTTGTTTAGAGGGGAAAAAAGTTTTATTGGGCATTTCAAACCAATTTTCAAATTAAGCAAACTGTAGATGCTCAAAAAAGACTCACATATCTAAGCTATGGCATACCATTATCATATTTAAGGATGAAGAATTCAATTCTACATTAAAAAAAATTTCAGATAGTTATAAAGGGGCCAACAATTCCTACTAGCCATTATAATGGAACTTCTGTGGTAAAGGTTGCATATAGGAGGCAGTTAAGATGAGCAAATCTTTTTTTTTTTTTTTAGTGAGCAAATCTTTAATGGAAAAGTTTGAATAAAAAACTAAGGCCTGGTAAAAACATGTAGCTATGTGTATGTCCAAGGCAGGACCCTATTCAGTGTCAGTTCTCACGTCTCACAGACATCCAATAATATTAGCAGATGTCTTCCTCCCTCTCTAGTCTAGATTTATTTACTTCTACCAAGTCTCAACCTTTTTATTCCAAGACCTCACACAGCAACTCTCCTTAGAGGATGCCTCCCCTAGATCTTCAGAACTGGTGCCGTGGCAAAAGAAACATTCTTAGCCACAGAGAAGAATCTGGCTGCCAGAAGATGAAATAACTCTTCAGTAGGACATCAGGAAACAGATTATGGAAAAGGTTTATAACTTCCAGGCTGAGAAATCCAGATGCTTTTGTTTTACATGGTAACAGTTGGGAATAGGATTCTATCCTTCCTGGAAGGGACGTTTACTTCTCCTACACTCACCTAACTGGATGGTCTGCTTTCCTCCTGAGAGGACACCCAGAGGTAGTGTACCTGTAGGAGTCAGCCCTTTGAGAGTCAGCACACTTTCCCTCTCTTCTCTAGAAAAGAATAAAAACATTTGGTTAACTTTTGGGAATATCCTGTTCAGCATATCAGAGAAAAATATGAGGGTAGCACCGAAGAGAGAAATATTTCCTCCTCTATCTTCATTCCCTAAAAAGGAATGGAGGAAGCAGTTTCTTCCCCTCCTTCATTTCCTAAAAACAGTATGTTTCAGTAAAACATTTTACAGTTAATTAACCAATACCAAGTCCATATAATACAAATAAAGACATTTGATGAGGGCTATATAAATATATATGTTAGTATGCTTTTACTTAATTCATTAGGTGGGTCTGATCTAAATTAGAGACCTAGACCACCGAAGGATTCTATTTTGATGCTAACCTCTAGCTCAAAAAAGGTAATTCCAAAATTGATTTCTAAATTTTCTTATAACAAACTGTACCACCCCACCCCACTCCACTCCCACCCCCAGCTTTTGTGTTTGTGAAAGCTAGGAAATAACCCAAAAAACACAATTTCATACACATGAACAACAGTCCCATAAAATATGAAACATGGATTCACAATCTACTGTGGTATTATTTTGAGGATATTATATATAGAATTCCATTTTAAGGCTCTTGGAAAAAAATCAAAATTGCCATATTAAAGCCAAATTTCATTAAAAATGGCAACTACGTTATAGAAAAGAAATATTTGAGGTATTTGTTATTTCAGAAAACATAAGTTTTATAATATATTTTTAAAGAAACTAGGGGACAGGAATTGTGGTAATAAATGTGGCAGGTATATTTTACTAGTTCCAAAGCAATTATATACCCAAGGGGGTAAATACTGCTATATCATTATAACCATGAATGCAATGAAAACTTTATTTTACAAAATGTAAAAAAGAAATAAAAATGGCCCAACTCAGTTTGTTTGGATTTACTAATTAAATTTGAACTCCTCTTTCTACTACATGTCACAGTTGAGGTCTTACCGAAGAATTGAAAACACTCGTGCCATCTTTCCAATAGCCCTGATTTTATTTCTGATGATCTCCTTACGAACTGATGTACCTACTGAGAACAGAAAGATCAACTGAGTTAAAAGATATTTTTTTTTAGGGCCAACAGGTTGCTTCAAAAAAATAACAGGTCAGTGTGAAGAATCTTGCCTTAAATTTAAAAATAAAAAGAGAAATTAAATCTTAAGTTATTTGAACATATAAAATCCTGGGGAGTGCTAAGGAAATCAGAATCTGAAAGAGCAAGAAACAAAATAACAGGAAAGGATGAGATTTTTAAAAAGAGGGCAGAAAGAAAAATAAAAGAAAGACTGGATGGGCTTGTCTCAGGTAAGATCCTCTTGGTGAAACTTAACAGGCAAAGGATACCACACAATAAAACAATGTAACACACATTTACATATGTAAGCACACACCTCAAAAAAACACAAAGACAGTTGGTGAAACAAAGTTCTCCTGTCTGATTGCTGACGGACATCTTGGGATGCAGGATTGTGCCTGCCAAATGGCAAGTGATCATTCAAGCCAAGTTCTTCTGCATGTAAACAAAATGTATGGCTATCCTGAACTTGGTGGGAGTGCCTTTATTTCTTTAATCCCTATTTACAAGTGAACTGGTGAGATCTTTTACACTACTGACAACCATACAGACAAAACTGTGGGAGAAGAGTGGAATATGTGGAGGATATTTTTTGAAGCAAAAAAAAAAAAAAGAGCACAAGGCCTTTTGTTCTTCTGTCATCTGAGGTTCATGAAATAACTCACGCATTACAAGCCAAACTTCAGATGTAGCATGCACTGAAGGTCCAGGCATGCAGCAGGTTACCGCATTCAGAAGTCAGAAACAGAAATGTGATATCACCCTTGCAGCTTTCGATATCCTAAAGAACCACAGCAGGATTCACACATACAAAGCATTTATGTTAAAATAAAAAAGGGATGAAAAAGGATGGAGAGTCTGCTTCAATTATTCAGCTATCAACTATTAAAAAAAAATCTATCCATGGGTTCTAGTGGTACAGGCAGCATGTAAAAGCTATTAGCACATTCTATTTGGGTACCTTTCTGATAGCTTGAAATGTAGTGATCTTCAGGGAGAAGAGACACCAAGAAACAAGGAATGAAGATAGAAATATGAGAAGAGAAGTTTAAGTTTTCATGGGAGGGAGAAAAAAATGTCAAGAGGAAATGGGACAAGGGCAATGGGACAAGCAGCTCACAAGAGACATTTTCTTGTAATGTGGTAAGATAGCAAATTTCAGATTTCATAGTTACATGTGCTTTGCCAGTTAGTATTTCCCTTTAAGACTTTCTAGTTTTATGTAAATCGGTCTGAGATCGTCCAATAAGCTTTCTACATCCACACAACATTAAAATAACATTACTAAATGAAATCCCAGAAGGATGTTATTTCTTGAATAATGTTGGTAATGAGCAGAGGAGGGGGCAAAGAGTAGATAAGCTTAATGTTCATAAATTTAAAGTATATGCAGTAGTGAGAAGCAGCAGCAAAGACTATAATCTGGACTCGTTCTGAAAGTCACATGCTTAGAACTAGGGAAAGTGAAGAGAGCTAAACTAAACACACGCACCCTAGGTGCTTTCACAATCAAGTCTCAACCAGTTTGCTTAAATTAGTTGAAACACCAAACTATTAAGACCAAAGTCAAAATCTCTCTACCAGGCTGAACGAGTGAGTTTTGCACAATGTAAAACCCAGTTCTGTGGTCCCTCCTAAGTTTAACCCAAATGCACAAAAATGTGTGTCTGGAAGGGGTACAGATAGCTCCATGCAATCCATCTCCACTACTGAAAAACAATGTGAAGCACTCATATAACAAACAGCAGGTCCTCTATGTTCTCTCTCTATAAAGGGTAGCACACTTCTTAACAACATGAAGCAATTTCTCATTTCTCTTTACATAGACACTACAAGATGTTATTGAACTTCACTGTGATTTCAAGAGGACCTAAAGAGAATAGCAGCTCAATAAATAAGACTCACTATAAGTACTCAAATCTTCAGGGGCTAACTTGTCAGAATCAGATCATGAGCACTGGGCAGGAACCTTAACCTAGTTTTAAAATCCAATCTCTCCCACCTTGGCTCCTGTTAAAGACAATCCAAGTTTACCTTCCAATGCTTCATCACCATCTGAAATCAACTCATCATCAGAGCATATGTTGAGAATGTTAACCAGCATCTCTGTGACTAGGTGAAGGGATAAAAAAGGAAAGGAAAATGTAAACATTTAAAAATATATTTTCTCTAAAAGAACATGTGTATATACAAAAACATGGAACAGAATTATTTTTCTATTCAATAGATTTAATTGACAAATTTTGGTTTTGTATTCCTGTCCTGTATTCCTTCCTTTGCCTTTCCCAAAATGCTATCCTTTATAAAAATATTTCTTAAAATTAGTAAAATTCATCAATGTATTGTAAAAAATTTCACATTGTATGCAATTTTCCACACTGCAGACCCTGCACTTTTGTAAAGGAGTGGGGAGAGTTGTCTTCTTATATTTCTTTAACTTATTGTCTGTTATTTCAGCAAAGTTATTTCTATTTTAACCTAATGTGACGGAAACCCTAAAACTGAGTATCTCATGCAGATGCTCCAGTAATCTGTTATATACATATATTATTTATATATTTACACATATTTAATTATAAAGCAAACCTTTATAATTAAAGGTCAAATATCTCATTTAATTCATTACAGAATTCTCCAAGAATCTACCAATTATTCAATAATTTGCTAGTTAACTTTTCAAAATACCTTACACTAATCTACACATAGAGAAAAAATTTCATTTCACAATCAACCTGCCAAAAGGACTATGCTTGTGTAGTTACATCAAATACAACAACACAATTCTAAAAATACAACAACAATTATATTGTTATATTTCTATGGCACCTTACAGTTGACAGTGATTTTTTTCATCACAACAACCCTGTGAAGGAATTATACTTTGCAAAACTCAAAAGTGCTCTACAAATGTTAGTAATTACTACTATTATAATCTCCATTTTAGAGATGAGGAAATTGAAGTTAAGGGTAAATGATGTGCAAGGCCATGTAGCTCCTGAGGCATGCAAAGAAAATCTGAACCTAGGTATACTGACTCCCAAGTTCAATGTATGTAGGGACTGTATTATTTTTAATACTTGATCAAATTGGAGTTACTCCTTTAAATAGCTATTTTAAATAAATCAAATATAATCCATTATAATTATGACTAAGAATCAACTAAAACATACTATATATAGCCAAAATATACAGTAAACAAATAAAAAAACCCCAATTTCCAATAATGAATTATTTGTACACTTCTACATAAGCCAGGGGGTATGAATACACATCATCTTGTGATTAATCACTGATTTAGGCACAGGGAGGTCTGGATGACTTATTTCTCCTACCTTTCTCCCCGACAAAAGGCAAAGACCACGTGAAGACATCCATAAAGTTTGGAAGCCAGTAGGGGTGTGGAGAGCAGTTAAACTGCCTGATGTTCATGATATTGTTTTCATATTTCAGTACAGCAGCTGAAAGAGAATAAATCAAGAGAATCTGGTCACACTCATAAAATGCTACAGTAACTGTTTCTCTTTATATAACTTTAAACACTTACACTACCTATAATTCAGGCTATTTTGTTTGTAAAGTTCAGGACTTGTGATTGAAAAGGAGGCTCACAGTAACTTATGACAGTTCATCTTCTCAGTTACCTACGCTACGTGCAGAGTTCAGAATAATAAAATTACAAAGCATTGTAGGCAGATCTTTAAGACTTCAAAAGGACATTACAGTAACTTTACAGGTCAACTGGTTGAAGTTATAACTACCCCTGGAAGGCCTTACATTATATAAGTAAGCCAATTTTACTGTTCAGTCTCCATGGGAAAAGATGTGGTTCTTTGGAGGGTTATAACTGGACAATTACTAATTCACATTAGTGGATGCAAACTGTCATACTGTGTGGAGTAACTTGGAATCAATGACTCAAGTCATTTCTCTCACAACAGGGGCAAAGATATCTCTCTGCCCCATCCTTCCCCCCAGCCAGTATATTGCTGCTGTGCAAGAAATGTAGTTGCACACATTTTAGTGATAAGTTAAAATATTAAAATGCCAATCTGTCTTCATTTAGTTACTACTTGCTACCACTGCCATACTAAAAAGGTAAAATGATTTCTTATAAAGTACAGAAAAGCTGATTATTTAGCGCTTATTTTTGTTAATGTGAAATTACTCCTAGTGACATAGTAACCTCAATATTTAAGAGTTAATAAGTACCTATGAAATATTAGGCACTGTAGAGAATATTTCCCATTTTTTTAATGCATGATTTTTCTTGGTAAATTTTTTTAAACTTAAATACAAAATGAGAAAAAAAAATTGCCATGTACACAGCAGACCATAAGAGAGGATGCAATATAAAACAATAAATGTCCATTTCAAGAAAACCTATATAATAAATACTATACATTGTTTTCAAAGTTGCCCAGCTTTTCTTTGCTTCCCTGCTGTTTTTCTTTTGTTTTCTGCTGTGCACTTTTTGCTTTATTTTTTCCCTCCCTTTCCCACCTTCCCCGCCTCTCCAAAAGGCTACAATTAAGCGTGAATATATATACATACATATACACAGATATCTATAAATATACACATATACACTCACACACATATACGTAAGAGTATACTATGTTTATTTCCTCCTATCATCTGTTTCTTTGAAGGTGGATAGCATCTTCCTTCATAAATCCAAGTTTTTCCATGTTTTTCTAAATCAACCGGCTCACCAATTCCTACACCACAGCAATATTCCAACCCAATCACATCCTCTGACAGTTTGTCCATGAAAGTCGTCTCCCCCCCCACCAATTTTCTGCATTCCTTTTATTCTTGGCTATATAGGTTTTATTTATACAAAAAAATTTTAACTTAAAATAATCTAATTTATCCTTTTTACACTTCAACAATGCTCTCACCTTATAATATGCATGATTATTTTTAAAAAAGTATTTCATATAGGGCATGCACCCTTAAGCTATGTAGGAGACAAATCTGGGAACTGGGCCACAGGAACAGAGGACTATAATGGGAAAATGCTGAGAGAAGCAGCAAGAAAGCCTTGGTGTCCATTTGGTATAACAAATCAGGGAAGGATGTAGAAAAGTAACCATTAAAATAGGGGCTGACGACAATCTTTTAGCTTTCAAAGGGCAACCAGTGGGACTAAAAATAAATGTGTATATTCCATTGTCAGGCTTAAGGAATAGTCTGGGGAAGGGGAAAACAGGGGGAAGAAAGGTTGGAAGAGACAGAAGGAAATGCTTAGGGGGAAATGGGAGAATGCTACCAACCAGTGTTTTAGTGTCCACTCAGCTTTTCCTAAGAGATGCTTAGGAAGCAGTAAAGAAAAATAGAAAGCATTTACTGACAAGTGGAAAAACTGTCTTAAGGAGTTTACCAGAGTCCTCGGCATAGACTGCTTGATGACAGGAATACCAAATATACAGAGCAAAAGTAGACTTGAGAGGTTGGACTGTAAGCAACAAGAGTAGGCAGAGACAGTGTGCTATCTAGTGCTCAATCAAGTGAGCAGTGAGTGAATGACAAAATACAGACTCCTCTACTTGTCACTTGAAGCCCCTATGCACTGGCTCTAAACTTCCAATACAGAATTATCTGTACATTTTATATATTTGTATGCTTATTTATTTTGGATAAAGACCTGGGATTTCATCTGAAAAGGAAGCTCCTGATGAAAAACACTCCTACCAATGTAGGTTTGCATCTTACAATCTTAGAGAGCCTCTGGGGCCCTGAGTGGTTAAGCCACCTGTCCAGGACCACAAAGCCAGCATATCAAAGGTGGGACTTGAACCCAGCTATTTCTGATTCTGAGGTCAGCTTTCTAGACACTACTGTGACATGTTGCCTCTTTCCAACCTTTATAAAGTGATTATATTTCTTTCAATGACTGATATTTTTTAAAAGCCCAGCAAAGACTGTGAGATAATGAGTCACTGAATAAAGAGGAGCTCCTTCCAAAAAAGTGTTCTAGTACTTAACTAAGTTATATATGTGGCTCAATATCAAAGAATTTAAGTTTGAAAAGTTGCTATGCTCAATTTATGAAAAGAAAAATTGACTTCTCCCATTGGCAAATGAGAAGTGATTAAAAATGAGACCAGGCTGGAAAAAACCCACACATCTAAACGAATATTGCCTTTTAAAAATAATAATGATAGGTACTACTTTACTCAACATAATTCAACAAACACTTTATAAAGTACCTTTCATGTTCGAGGCATTATGTTAGGCACTGAGGATAAGAAGGAAAAAAAGTTCCCATATCCTCAAGAAACTTACATTCTACAGGAGGGATGGAATATGATGACGTGTCTGGGCAAATCTATAAAATAGAAATAATATCTACAGCACTTACCCTTGATGCTTTGGAGGATTAAGGGAGATCATATAAAGAATCACATAAATGTTAGTTATTACCATTAAGGAAACAGAAATTAATTTGAGGAAAAAGTGTGCACACCTTCTTGCGTGTGTGTGAAAGACAGATATAGAAAAGAAGACAGACAGACAGACACACACAGACAGACAGGGAAGTGAGGAAAGGCCTCAAGGCCTCAACTTAGAAATGGCACATGCAATGAGCTTTAGACCTGACAACCCTGGGCCTTTTTATCTACCCTATAGCTTAACCTTTTCATACGCGTGGTTTCCCTCAATTAGAGTTTACGTTTCTTGAGAACATGGACCATTTCACCCTTCTACTGGCACACTCAGCACTTAGCACAGTGCTTTGTACATACAAAATACTTAATAAATTATGGAACATAGCAGGTCATTGATAAAAACTGACTGACTGAAAAGCTAGTAGGCCAGTTTGGCTGTAATGCCAAATGTGCGAAGGGGAGTAATATGAAGTAAGTCTGGGAAGATATGTGAAAAGCCAGGCTGGTAAAGCTATTTAAATACCAGGCTGATGAGTTTGCATTTTATCCTGGAGGTAATATAGAGCCATGAAAAAGGTGGGGACTAATAACTCAGTTATGGTTTCTATTTTAGAAATGTTAATTTGGTAGCTATGTGGAAGATGGAATAAGAATAGAGAGACCAAAGAATAAGCTGCTACAGTACTGCAAATGAGAGGTGATTGGGGGGGGGGGCGTGCGCAAACAAGGGAGAGTGGCTATGTGGGAATTCTACCTGCGGAGGTAGAATTGATCGCAGCTGGCAATAGACGATAACTGGAAGTCAAGGATAACTCCAAGGTTGTGGACCTGAGTGTGAGGATAGTGAAGCTTTCAAAAGAAGTTTCTGGAGAGAAGAGAATGGATTGGATGTGTTGAGTCTGAGATTCAATAAGACATCCAGGAGGAGATATACAGCAAGAATATGTGACTCAGGATTCAGGAGTAAGATTAGGATTATATAAGTCTGAGAGTTTATCTACACAAAAGCAATGACTAAACTGCTAGGACCTGATGTGATCACCAAGAGAGACTACAGGGCACACATTTCTAAATTTCCTAGTGATACTCTCCCTTTCTATAAAAACAATTCTAGTAGCCCAGTCCTCTACTTTTCATAAAACAATTTACAAAGACTGACAGTGACAACAGAGGATATGCCCAAGGAAGCATTCATTCCGGGCAGATGTAAGCTAGATCCTATTTGTGTACAACCATATCAAATAGTCATTCTGGGCATTTACTGTCAGCTAGAGTAAATTGGTGGTGTCAATCTTGCTTTTGCTACCTTTGATTTGAACTTTGTTTCCATTTTTAAAGATGTGGTCGTGTGGGAATTGTACTTGAAGATGCTCAGTAATTTTGACTACTCCTCCATGCCATGGCCTAGAGGGTCTCAGGCTTCCCCACCTCCAGTTTGGAAAACTATGCTAGAGACAAAACTTGGGGGGCCACTTATAGCTTGGTGGCTGAAGATGAAAGATGATCCAGCAAAATAAACTGAGAAGGAACAGACAGAAAAATAAAAGAACTAGTAGAGAATAGTAACATAGAATTAAATTCTAACTACATTTATCGAGCACTTAACTGTGTGTGAACACTGTGCTAGGTGCTGGGATTACAAAGGCAAAAACCAAATAATCCCTCCCTTTAGGTAGCTAGCAACAAAGAGACATGTACACAGATCAATAATTTCAGGAAGGAGAGAATACTAATTACAGGGTTGGAGAAGAGGAAGGTAAGGAATTGTGTTTTAAAGAAAGCCAGAGATTCTAAGAGGTGGAAGTGAAAAAGAAGCATGCTCCAGGTCTGCAGGACCAAATGAGTGGAGATAGAATGGCCCATATAGGGAACAGCTAGTAGGCCAGCTTGATCAGTACAGCGTGTATGACTAGGGAAGAGGAGAGAAGGACTAGGTTGCAGCTAGGTTACAGAACCCTGAGGGGTTATCCTAGACTAGTCACTGAAGATTTCTGATTTGGGATATGAGATGGTCAGATCTGCATTCCAAGCATATCAGTTTGACAGCTGGATGGAAGATAGTGAAGAGAGAGACCAATTAGGAGGCTACTTTGATAACCTAGGCCAGGGGTGATAGTAGGGTAGAAGCTATGCAGGTAGAAAAAAGGGGATGCTGGTCAGGGGGTAGGGAAGAACAAAGAATGGCTCAAAGGATGGTGTGGTACAATCAATAGAAATGGGGAAGTTTGGAAGAAGGATAGGTTTAGAGAGAATACACAAAGTTCTATTTGAGACACAATGAATTTAAGATGCCTGCAGACAACTAGCTAGAGATGTCAAACAAGATGAAGACTGAGAAATGGATATCAAATTCAGCCAACTGAAGTCATTTTGTGTGAACTGAAGACTTTAGCTTGAGGCCAAGGATTAAGGCGGAGAAGCCTTAAATAATCTGGCCTGTCAATTCATCCATCTCCTTAACTCCTATTACCAAGATCTTCACTCCACTTTGGCTACCCACTAGGATGATTAATCTTAGATTTCAACCATAACTCTGATAAATCAGAACTCTAAATCCCTCTCTCTCTGTTCATAACTCTCTCTCTTCCACTTGCCCCTCTGCTTTATTCCTCCTAAACTTACTCTTCCTCCTCATGGCTATTACCTCCAGTCACTCTCTCTGTCTTATCAGTCCACCACCCTACTCTGGCCTCGCTCTTCTCCCTTTCCAGTCTGAATTTTATAATTAGCTAGCTCAATTATATGCCATCATTTATCCTTTAATCCTCTCCCCTCTTTTCCCACTACCGCTCTGTACCTGTCAAGTACAACCTGGTTACCCTTGCCACTTTCCTTCTCCATTTCAACTTAAATTTTTGCAGCTGAAGGCCACACTGAAAAAAGCCATGGAACTTCTAAACAGGCCTACCATTGATTTAGGTTATTAAATCTCAACTGGCTGGGCAAACATTGACTTCTTTGATAATGGAAAGAGAAACACCCTAGAGGCTAGAAGAAGACGGTGACAAAGAAAACGAAGGATGGGAGAGGCGATAAATGAAAAGGAATCAAGGTAGGTAATGGTGGCTGGGTGAAGAAGGATCCCCCCAGCACTGGAAAAGATGGCCAGGGTTAAGTAAAGATGGAAGAACTAAGGTTCAAAAAGGACAAAAATACATGCTTTAAGTCACATGAATAATCGGCAGAACCCAGCCTAAATTTGTACCCCAGACTTCTAAATTCTAAACCAATGCTCAGTCCATGACACCATTATACTTTTCTATACATTTATTCCAACAATGCTGCGCTGCTCAAATAATTTCTGGAAACTTCCCCAAAGTCAGCTTAAAAAAACCCCACAAGAAAATCAGTTTCACTGCCTTAAAGTTAGATTTCCTTTTTGATCTGTATTTTCAAACAGAACTCCTTGGCTTATTCACCAGACTTGCCTGTGAATCACTTTTGTCTATTTCCAAAAATCAAATCCATCCTCAAAGGGGAAAATTTCCCAGGACTGAGGATATTCACAAAGAATGTGTTCAGGGCCCTGAGGGCAATTCCAGAAATGTTTGGAGCAATGACAGCATTACTAAAGTGTGTAACTTCCTAATTTGACAATTTTGAAGAAAACGACACTTATGTGGAGTTATAAATTCTGGCCTATTTGTTATATGACTTTGTACACAACTGAAGTACTCAGAAAGATCTAGAGCTCAGAGGAGGAGTCTCTGCCCTGAAAGAAATAGAACAAGAAGACAGGGGAAAGATTTTTGATTTCACCGATGCAGGAATGCCTGGATGAGGGAATTCCCTACACTAAAGCAGGTTGGTACCTTCTCTACAGTTTCCACAATCAGGAGAGTTGTTCAAGGCTTTGAGAGGTTGAGAGCCTACCAAAGGTCACATACCCAGTAAGTATCAGACTTGAAGTTGAACCTAGATCTAATTTAGGGCTCTTCAAGACCAATTTCTATTCACTATACCAAGATGTCACGTGTCCTGATAAGTTTTGTTGTTCGGTCGTGTCTGACTCTTTGCGACCCCATTTGGGGTCTTCTTTCTAAGATACTGGAGTGGTTTGCCATTTTCTTCTCCAGCTCCTTTTACAGATGAAGAAACTGAGGCAAACAGGGTGAAGTGACTTGCCCAGGGTCACACAGGGAGCAAGCATCCAAGGCCAGATTTGAATTCAGGAAGATGAGGCCCCTGGTGCTCTACCCACTGTACCACCTAGCTACCCTTATCCTGATAAAACACATGTGAAATTCAGAATTACAGGATTTTCAGAGGGGAATGGATCTCCCAGATCAACCAGTCCAAACCCTATATTTTTAGAGATGAAGAAAATAAAGGCCATCTCAAGGTCACACAGTCAGCCAGTGATGTAGCTGGGACTAGAACTGAGATCAGCATAACAGAACCTATACAATGCCACTTCTGGAAATTTCAAAACAGCGAGAAGAACTCGGCGATTCAGAAGTATTAAAAAACTAAGAGATGACTTATTCTGAGTGAGGTAATGCTTTAAAAATAGATGACATTAGACTGAAAATAATAAATTACGCTGAGCAATCCGAGAGAGCCAACAAGCACAAAGACATGTAACACTAAGCTTTCTAAATCCAAGTCATAGACTCTTCTTGCATTTTGCCTCTGGAACACAAATGAGATCTACTTTCATTACTCATGTCCTGTCCTGAGGTTCCAACCAAGTTCTGAGGGTAATGAAATACAGCTGAGTAATTAACATCACCCTAGATCCCTGGAATAGGTTATTCCCATACAGTATTAAGTTAGCTATTCACATTTACCAATCAAACTCAAATCCAAACCCTGTCACAGTTCTTTACCTTTGTTGTTATAGACATCTAGGTAATTTGGGGCAGAGAAAATTGTAATGAGTGATGGAAAGCCTGTTGTCTGGCTCTTCCTATACATTCGATACCTGGAAAAGAAATGACAGCTTGTCTGTCCTGTTGTGAAAAGGAAAAACTCTCCAGTGACACTTGATGCAGTTCTAGTATCACTTACCCGGAATCCTGAGCTTCATGGGCTCTGATTATTGATAACAAACTATTGCTTTGCAAAAAGTCACAAACTGCAGGATAACTGGAAAAAAAAGTTTTTAGAAAATATGTTAATTCTGAGCTAAAACAATTCTTTTCAGGGTAAGGTGGGATGGGATAAAAATCATAGCATAGATTTAGAAGCATAAGGGATCTTAAAGGCTATCTAATCCAGCCTCTTAATTTTATTTCTTTAAACTTTTTTTTTCCAATAAACAAAAATCAAATTTCTTCCCCCCTCCGGGGAAAAACCTTTAAAATATACATAGTCAAGCAAGAAAAATCTCACCATCTGCCATACTTTAAAAATAATTATTTCGGGGCAGCTAGATGGCGCAGTGGATAGAGCACCGGCCCTGAAGTCAGGAGGACCTGAGTTCAAATCCGGCCTCAAACCAAACACTTGACACTTACTAGCTGTGTGACCCTGGGCAAGTCACTTAACCCCAATTGCCTAAAAAAGCAAAAATAAAAATAATTAAATTTAAAAAAATAATTATTTCATTTTATACTTAGTCTATCATCTCTGTCAGGGAGTACAACCTCTTTATTCTACAAACTGAGGTCCACAGAGTTTAAGTCAATCTGTTTCGATTTTAAACATGTAATGAACCAAGAGTTGTAGAACTTCAACAAGATCTTTGTATGTAATCAATTTATATTTTGGCCATTTGGTATGATCATTCCAAATAAAATATATAAATTAGAAGGGTTCCTTATGTTCTATTTTTTTTAAAAAGAAAAAAAAACCTTTACAATATCCCTCTTCAGTCCCCTTTTCTCTTCTCTCACTAACTCCTTAACACTCTGCAATCTGATTTCAGACCACATCAGTTAACTCAAACTGCCCTTTCCAAAGTCACTAATGATCTCTTAAATGACAAATTTAATGATTTTTCTTAAGTCTTCATAATACATTCTATAGAATTTTTAAATACAATTTCCATTCCTATCTCTTTCTGTTGAGTTTTGCTGGTATTATATAGGCTATAAATTTCTGTGTTCATCTTACTTTTAAAAAGAAAAATAAAAAACAGCACAACTGATCAATATATTGAAAAAATCCAAAAATATGTCCAATGTGTAACACCTATGGACCTAACTACCTCCATGAAGAAGTAAATTGGAGGTATCTTCTCAAATCTCTTCTTTTAAGTACCGCTTGATCTTGATAATTTTGTTAATAATCACTTCTGATTTTTGTTGTGTCGTGTTCTTTCCATGTACATCGCTGTAGTTATTGTGCATGTTGTTTTCTTGGCTCTGCTTACTTCACCCTGTATTAGTTCATGCAGATCTTTCTATGTTTTTCTATATTTATCATACACATAATTTCCTACAGCACAGTAACATTCCATTCCATTAACATACCACAATTTGTTTAGTCATTCCCCAACTGATGGGCCTCTACTTTGTTTCCAATTTTTTGTTACTATAAAAAGTGCCAGTATAAATACTTTTGGCATATATGTGGATTTTCTTAGGGGTATATAAGCTGAATAATGGGAGCCTCTGGTTGAAGGCTTCTTAACTTTTTAGTTGTTTTATTTCCATAATTCCAAGTTGCTTTCCAAAATGGCTGTACCATTTCACAGCTCTATCAACAATGCATTATTAATGTGCTGATCATTCCACAACTCTTCCAACATTGACTAATGCCATTTTTTGTCATCTTTTCCATTTTGCAGAATTGTGAGGTGAAGCGTCAAGGTTGTTTTGATTTGTATTTCTAGTATTAGTGTTTTGGAGCATTCTTTCATGTGGTGTGAATACTTTGCAGCTCTTTTTTTTGAGAACTATTTGTTTATATCCTTTGACCATATATCTATTGGGGAATGGCTGGTTAGTCATATATATTTATTTTTTATGTATCTTGGATTCCAAACTCTTATCAGAAAAATATGATAAAGATTTTCTCACCCATTTGGCAGCCTCCCTTCTTATCTTAAGTGCATTTTTTTTTCTGTGCAGAAGCTTTCCAGTTTCATGTAACCAACATGATCTATTTTATCTTTTATAATTGCTTCTATCTCTTGTTCTATCTCATAGCTATGAGAGGTATATAATCTAACTTTTTAATAGTATGTGTAGGTTTATTTATATCTTGTTATTTTGTTAATTTTTTAATTGAATCTTGACTTCTTTAACTAGGCTAGGCCATTGCAAAAAGTGTTAATTTCGTTTGTTTTTTGCTTATTCCCTTAATTTCTTTTTGTCTTATTTCTTTAGCTAATATTTCTAGCACCGTATCAAATAATAGTAATGATAATGGGCATTCTTGCTTTACCCTCATATTTACTGGACAGGTCTCTTGCATTTCACAATTATAAATAATGCTGACTCCAGGTTTTATTTAGATAGATAATACTTATAGTATCATGGGTAGCTAGACAGTGCAGCAGATAGAGCACTGGGCCTGGAGAGCTGAGTTCAAATCCAGCCTCAGATACTTAATAACTGTGTGACCTGAGCAAGTTAGCCTCTGTCTGCCTCAGTTTCTTCATCTGTAAAGTAAACTGGAGAAGGAAATGGCAAACCATTCCATTAACTTTGCCAAGAAAACCCCAAACGGGATCATGAAGATTTGGAAATGATTGAAACAACTCAACAACAACTTATCGTATCAAGAAAAGGTCCATTCATTTCTATGATTTTTAATGGAAATGGGCATCATATTTTGTGAAAAAAATTTCTATTTACTGATATAATCATGATTCATATTGTTTTCACAATTCATGTGGTGTATTATATTTATCCTCTCTTAACAGTGAAACATACATTCTTGGTATAAAAACCTAGTCATAGGATAAAACTGTTTTTAGTATGTTATTGTGGCTTTTCTGCTAATAGGTTAATCATTATTTATGTATCAATATACATTAGGGATATTGATCTATACTTTTCTCTAATTTGTTTTCCCCTAGTTTGTATATCAAGATTATACACCTGCAATATAAAAGGAGTTTGATAAAATTCTTTTTCTATTTCTGCAAACAGCTTACACAGTACTGGAATTGTCCTTTGAATGTCTGATATGATACACTTTTAAAAAAATATATAATTCACTTAGAAATCCATCTAGACCTGGGCTTTTTTTTTTCCTTGGAGTTCACTTATGGCTTATTTTTTTTCTATTTCTCATTCTGTCAATCTGAGTATTTTATGTTTGTAAATGTCTATTTCATTGAATTTATTAAATTTGTTAGTCAAAACTGGACAAAATAGTTTCCAATAATTCCCTTTACTTCATTTGTTGTCAATTCTCCTTTTTCTTTTTTTTCTTTTAGGCAATTGGGGTTAAGTGGCTTGCCCAGGGTCACACAGCCAGTAAGTGTTAAGTGTTTGGTCTGAGGCTGCATTTGAACTCAGGTCCTCCTGACTTCAGGGCTGGTGTTCTATCCACTGCGCCACCTAGCTGCCCATCCTTTTTCATTTTTGATACTGGCAATTTGGTTTTCCTCTTTCTTTTTCTTCAGTCAGACTGAGTAATGATTCATCTATTCTTTTAGCACTCAGCACAGTGCCTACCACAAAGAAGGCATTTAATAATAATAAATAATAATAAACACTAATAAATGTTTATTGATCTATTTCATTAGTTCCTCAAAAAAAACCCCAGCTCCCTTGTTGTATTTATCATATCAACTGGTTTTTGCCTTCGTTTTTTAAAATCTGTTCTTTAATTTATTGAACTATTCTTTTGTTGATGAAAGCAATATTTAAATACATAAAATTTCCCCTATGAAATGCTTTAGCAGCATTCTAAAGGTTCTGGTATACTGTTTCCTTTTTGTCATTTTCTTTGAAGAAGTTATCTATTTTTTCTGATTTGTTCTTTGACCTAATTCTTTAAAATTAAGTTATTTAGTCACCATTCAAGTTTGAATCCTTTCCTCAAAGGCATTTTATTATTATTTAATTGTCCCTCGTTTGGTTAAGATGAGTTACGTTCATATGGCACCTAATCCTCCATCTTTCCTCCATTTTTGTACACTTTTCATCTCAAGTTCCAATTATGATAAATAAGTTCTGCCCATTTCTCCTTCATTTCTTTTCTAGCATATTACCTTTTCTTTCCTCTTTTAAAACCAAGAAAACAGACACTAACAGTCTGTAGTCCCTCTGTTCATCTTATTTAATTCCCTTTATGACCCTTGAAGTCATTAAGATTCTGAAGGGACACGTATCTTTCTTCCACCATTAGAAGGACTTCATCATTATTTAGTCCCTTCAAATTGCTCAAATGTATTTATTTTGTTATGTTTCTCTCGACTTTTATATTTGCATCTGAAACTTATACTCAGCTCTGTTCTTCTCATCAGGTATGCTTAAATGTCATCTACTTCATTAATGATCTGAATTTTTTTTTCTCCCTCCAGGACTGTACTCAGTCTTGCAGGATAAGTTATTTCTGGTTGTTAACTTCTATTTTTTGCCTTTTCAAGTATCACATTCCAAGATTTTCATGCCTTTAGCAATTTGCTGGGTTTTACAGGATCTTGCCTATAGTTCCTTAGTACATAAGCTTTCTTTCTAGCTGCTTACAGTACTTTTTCTTTGACCTATAAGCTCTGGATTTTTGTTAGGACATTTTGGGGTGTTTTCATTTTGGAGATTCCTTCAGAAGGTGGCCAGTGGATTCTTGCTGTTTTCATTTTGCCCTCTGATTTTCACAGAATCTGTGCAATATTTATGATTTCTGAAAATGTGAGATCCAGACCTATTTTTTGGGGGAGGAAGTGTTGGGGCTCAGGGTGGGAAAGAGGAAGGTTAAGTTGTGGTTTGAATAGAGTCTGATGATTCTTAAATTGTCTCTCCTTGAACTGTTTTATAGGTTAATACTTTTTGATAGTAGATACATTGTATTTTCTTGTTGTTTTTTCCCCCAATATTAATTTTGTTTCAATATCTCTTTTCTCCTGAAGTCATTCAGTTTTATTTGATCCATTCAAAATTTCAGGGAGTCTCTGACACTTGGGTAAAGTTTTTCTTTTTCTTTCTTCCTTTTTTTTTCTTTTTTTTTTTTTTTGGTGAGGCAATTGAGGTTAAGTGACTTGCCCAGAGTTGCACATCTATTTATATTATGTGTCTGAGGCCACATTTGAACTCGGGTCCTCCTGACTCCAGAAGAGGTACTCTATCCACTGCGCCACCTAGCTGCCCCCAGGTAAGGTTTTTCTACTTTCTCTTCTAAACTATTTATTCTCCTTCTAATTCTTTTGTCCAAAGCTCTTATTTCACCTATAATTCCATTTAAAAAATCTCTTGATTTATTTCTTCCAGGTACTTCCATAGTCCTTGTGTTAAAGCCATTTCCCCCGCTGAGGTTCCACTTGTAGTTGTTATGGAATTGTTTTCTTCCTGCAGGTTTATCTCTGGGTCACTGACTCATAATATTTGATAGTGTTCTGTGTCATCTTTTGTTTATTCATGTTTCAAATTCAGTTCCTGATTTGGGACTTTGTGCAAAGATTAAGCTCCACTCATTCACACATTACTGAATGGGGTGGAGAGGACCTTTTTCATCATGGCCTTGTTTTCTTGGATTCCTGCCATCAGCTTCCACTTTCCTAGGTGTATGTGCTCAGAACTCTGTGTCTGGTTGTTTCTAGTCAGGATGCTTTGGCAGTTTTCTGTCCCTGCTGGGGTTTCCCTACTCAGGATGTTGCGATTCTCTTCAATCCCTCCTGGGGACTTCCCTGTTTACCTGCACTCATGCTAATTTCTCTGGCAGGACCTCTCATCTAGTATTCATAGCTTCTAGCTGTCTTTTCTCTTCAAACTTGAACTGGATGAAGGAGTTTAGTGGATTCTTGGTCACTGTTCAATTTTGTGTTCTTTTTAAGATCACTGGTGAAGTAAAAGTGGGAGATTTGTAGAACGTTTCATGTATCTATATAACCAGAAATTTGTAGTCAGTCAAAAAGCCTAATATGTGCTAGACACCTTACTAAATGCTGGGGATACAAAGAAAAGGAAAAAACAAACAAAACAACTACACCTCCAAACAGTCCCTGCTCTCTAAAAGCTTATGGTCTATTGGTGGAGAGAGTAGGCAAATAAGATATGTAAAGGATAAACTGGAGATAATCAATAGAAGGAAGGCATTATTATTAAGGGGGATTCAGAAAGACTTCTTGCAGAAGATGGGATTTTAGCTGGGACTTAAGAAAGTCAGGGAAGTAAGGAAACAGATGAAGAGGGAGAGAATGTCAAGCACTGGGGGAGAGCCGGAAAAAAATGCTCAGAGTTGAGAGAAGCAGTATCTTGTGCAAGGAACAGTCAGGAGGCCAGTGTCAGTGGATTGCAGAGTATGTAGGGGGCAATAAGGTATAAGAAGACTGTATTTATTTCATTATCAGTATTTTGCTTCTATTTATTAATGCTGTGTCATGTTTAAACATAATCTCTTTGAGAGCAGACTATTTCATATTTTCTTCTCTCTGTTATCTAAAACAGTGCTATATCACAGGTACTAATTTTTGTTAATTGCTTGTTTAGTCTTCTCCCAACAATTTACATTTGTGAAAAGGCTCCCTCCACCTCAACATGGGTTGAAGTTCTTCCTTCGCTCCCAGGTCCAGCTCAGGTGCCACCCAGAGACAAATCAATTAGGTTACTTGGGGAGATATGATGTGAGACAATTCTTAATATAACTTTTTATAAATGTACAAACATCTGATACCAGAAGACTACTCACCAATATGTATGTGTATATGTACATATGTATAATGATAAATTAATTTTGCAAACCCCTAGAAGTACAGTTTTCAAGCCTTTCCTGGGGCACACAAATGCCTTAAACCTGACTTTCATGCCAATTTCCTTCTTATTTTTTTCTCACACCCCCACATCTACCACAAGAAATGATCTTTCTCTCTCTCACCTAAATTATGTCTCTCTAATTGACCTTTCCTCTGCACTTACAAGATTCTGTCTTACAATTATTTATGTCTTCTATTTTATTATACTGTAAACACTTTAAGGGCAGAAACTGTGTCATTTTATTTTTCTATTTCCAATGCTTATATATAGTCAGAATGATAGATCTGGACTCATTCAAGACCCATACACCGCAGATAGCACAATGCTTAAACAGAAGCATGTCAATGGATAAATACTTAAACTGAACAACAAATCTTCATATTTATTTAGCACCCTAAAGTTTACAGATCATTTCTCTCACAATAACCTTGCAAAGTTCATTTCCATTCTGTTAAAAGAATAAAGATCAAAAGACTAAAAAATAAAAGAAGCACTTAAAAACCACACGGCAAGTAGCAGCATCAGAACATGGCCTTTAAAGCTGTGTACTCTAGGAACAAACATAAAAAAGCTCATACTAGCCTTCTGAAGGGCAATAACTTTAAAATGGGTATCTTCAGGTGTCAAATTTTTCTAGGAGAAATAGCTGGGGCTTGAGAAGCAGAACAGAAATACAATCAATCTGAGGTTACTTGGGGTTTAATTATTTAGTGGGTAAATTGCTCATCCTCTGGGCAATGTTAGCATTTTCACTAGATAAGAGCATGGGGTGGAGAAAGAAAGTGGAAATCAACCAAAGAAAATGGAAATAATTCCATTTTGTCATTTATAAGCAATCAGTAAAAAAAAAAAAGGTTGTTGGTATGCCCAAAGGGCTATAAAACTGTGCATACTCTTGACCCAGCAATAACACTTCTAGTGCTGTATCCCAAAGAGACCACAAAAATGGGAAAAGGACTCACATGTACAAAAATATCTGTAGCAGCCTTTTTTGCGGTGGCAAAAGAATTGGAAATTGAAGAGATGCCCATCAGCCAGGGAATGGCTGAACAAGTTGTGGCATATGAATGTAATGGAAGATTATTGTGCTATAAGAAATGATGAAAAGGCAGACTTCAGAACAACCTGGAAAGACTTGAATGAATTGATGCTGAGTGAAGTGAGCAGAACCAGGAGAACACTGCACACAGTAACAGCCACATTGTGCGATGACTAACTTTGATAGACTTATCTCTTCTCAGCAATGCAAGGACCCAAGACAACTCCAAAGGACTCATGATGGAAAATGCTGTCCACATCCAGAAAAAGAACTACAGAGTCCGAATGCAGATCAAAGGATATTATTTGCTTTCTTTTTTCTTTTTCTTTTGTTTCTTCTTTCTCGTGGCTTCTCCCATTGGTTCTAATCCTTCTTTACAACATGACTAATGTGAAAACAGGTTCAATATGAATGTATGTGTAGAGCCTGCATCAAATTGCACACCATCTTGGGGTGGGGGGAGGGGAGAGACGGGGAGAAAATTTGGAACTCAAAATCTTATGGACGTGAATGTTGAAAACCAAAATAAACAAACAAAAAAAAATCCTGATTCTTTAAAAAAAAAAAAGGGAGAACAATGTTCAAAATGTTGCTTAAAATTAAGCTTCTGGCTTATCTACAGATTTTTATCAATGTTTCATTCTCGCCTAATTATATAAAGACAAGAGAATTTTATTAAGATGTGCATTACTGAGTTGAATATAATTGTAGGTTATTTTTTGTTTTTTAAATTCCATGCTACCTTTTCCACTGTTTTTTCCAAGACAATACCAAACAACTATGATTAAACCATAGATTTAGTGAAAACCACCAATAATAATAACTCCCAATGTCCTGAGTTTAATAAATATCTAACTAACCCCCCACACCTGCATCTATAGTACCAGAAAATGATCACAGATTTGGATTGTCATGAGACAATGAAGGATTCTCAATTAGATTCAACCTATGTACTTAGACAGGAAGCTGAAACAAGAATTATCTGGATAATGCTTAGTTAACCAGAAAACTACATTAGAAGAGTTTAGAAAAAAGGAAAAAGAGAAGTTGACTTATGGTTAAGGTTGACAACTTAAACTCTAAATAACATAACATATTAAATGTAATATATTAAATTTGAAAATGAATCTCTAGACTTAATTTACTTTTTGCAAAATCTGAATACAAAAAGCATTCTGGCTTACCAACCCTACTTTGTAACTTAAAAAATGTTTACCTGTAAAAGAAGGAGCACCCTCGGACAGTGTTGTGGCTAAAGTGCTCCATGGTCTTCTCACTGCCATACTCCTCCAAGGGATCAGACCAAAGCAGGTCACACATTGGTCCAAAAGCTGGAGGTTCCCTAAACCTGTCTAACTAGAAGGCACATAAAAGGCAAAGAAAACCATGAAAACAGAATGATTTTTGGTATTTTGTAGGTCAAGCAATTATTCTACTTCCCCTTATTTAGTGTAAGAAAAGTAAATAGCAACTTCCAATAAGATTCACATGTAAAAAGAGCACAAAAAATGAAAGCTAGCTCTGTTTTCTTATTAAGGATGATGAAATTACAACTTTCTAGGGGCACATAATAATCCACATCTATTATCTTTCATGGTTATTCCCTCCTGATCCTTCTTTTTACTCCATTTGAAAAATGCTGGGTGCATGGAGTTCTCTCTTTACTTAGACGAGGTATTTTAATGCAAGTTGCAGCAACTTAGGTTTTTTTTGGTGACTGCTGTTTTAGTTATAACAGTCTAATCCCATCACTCACCTGTAGGTGAGAAAACTGAGGCAAAGAACATCTTATATTAATGCCCTCTAACATTCCAGCCCCTCCCCTTTCATGGTACCCTAAGCACTGTTGGGCTCTTTATTCAATCAGTCAATAAATGTTTAAGCCCTTCTATGTGCTAAGCACTGTGCTAAGTGCTACGGATACAAAGAAAGACAAAAGCCAGTCCCTGCCCTAAAGAGCTCACATTCTAATGGAGGTGACAACATGCAAAAAACTATGTACAAACAGGCTTTTTATCAATAAAATGGAAATAATCAATGGAAGGAAGGCCCTAGAATTAAGGGGGATGGGAAAGACTTTCTGTGGAAAGTGAGATTTTAGCTAGGACTCAAAGGAAGCCACAAGGAGGAAATGAAGAGGGAGAAAATTCCAGGCACGCATTTTTATCTGCCAATAAAAACACCCAGAGTCTGGAGATGGAGTGTTTTTTTAGAGGAAGGAGGCCAGCAAGATGGAATCAAAGCATACATGGGGGGAAGAGTGCAAGGTATAAAAAGACTAGAAAGAGGGGTGTGTGACACAGGTTATGAAGGACTTTCAATACCAAGCAGAGGATTTTATATTTGGTAGGGAGCCACTGGAGTGTACTGAGTTGGTAACATGGTTAGACCTGTGCTTTAGAAAAACAACTGTGGCAGGTGAATGGAGGATGGACTAGTGTAGGAAGGGAGGGAGTAGCAGGGAGACCAACTAGCAGACTACTGCAATAGTCCTGGCATGAGGTGATGAGGGCCTTCACTAGGGTGGGGGCAGTGTCAGAGAAGAGAAGGAGGCATATTACAAAATACGTTAAAAAGTAACACTGGTCGGCCTTAGCAACAGACTAGATATGGGAATAGGTGGGTAAGAGGATGATACCTAGGTTTTGAGCCTGTGTCACTGGGAGGATGGTGATGCCCTGAAAGTATTAGGGAAATCAGGAAGATGGGAGGGTTTGGGAGGAAAGATAATGAGTTCAGTTTTGGATAGGCTGAGTTTAAGATGTCTACTGAACATCCAGTTCAAGATGTCTAATAGGTAACTGGAGATGCCTATTAGAGGAGATCAATAGAAAGGTCAACAGAGGAGGTCAATAGAGAAGCTAGGGCTAGATAAATCAATTTGAGAATCATCAGCACAGAAAATGATAATTAAATCCATAATGAGATCACTAAGAAAAACAGCATAGAGGAAGAGAAGAAAGACTAAGGCAGAATTCTATGGGATACCCATGGCTACCCTGAATGAAAATAGCAAAGAAGATTAAGGAGTAGTCAGATAGACAGGAAGGAAACCAAGAGAGAGCAGTCTCACATAAATTTAGAGAGAAGAGACTATTAAGGACACAAGGCCTCTGGCACCCAGCTATCGCTTGTGGCTCCAGGAGACTACAGCATGTGCAGTGGCCCATACCTCGGTAAAACCATTTTGGCAGATAGGCTAAATGAGGCTGAAGGTAACCGACTGGCCCCATCGGTGAGTTAGAAGGATGTGTACCCCAAGCATGGGAAGACTCCCCCAGCAGAACAGACAGATGAGAACAATTTGTTCCAACAGCCATGAAAGAATGCTATCGTTTCTTAGACCCACAGGTGAAAGCTGGGTGGCAGGTGGACACCAAAGGTGGAAAGCAGCCCTGAAAAAGCGCTTGGCAGCCCCCATACCAGAGGTACTAGTCTTCCCTGAACATCCTGTATACCTCACAGTATAAGTGATATAATAACAACAATAAAATAGTGGCAAAATAATGACAATAATCTTACTTAAATTAACATGCAAATGATCTGTGATGACTTCAGTGTCTGGTACTCTCAGCATGGATACTCCCTCCATCAGCACAAATTGAAATGATGGCCACCCATTCATGATTTAATAGATAAGACTAGTAGATAATATAGAGGAATGACTACTTACTCTCCTAATGTCATCTAGAGAACTGATTTCCGGAGACAATCCTCCATGTACACACAGAAACTGCTGGTTTAAGAGTGCAGCAAGAGGAAGACAATCGAATGTATCCATGCATGCATCATATATCTGCTCTGAATATTTGATTCGACCTAATGGAAAAGGAATATAGAGTTACAACAAAACGGAAAGAGAAAAGAGTACAAAACTTTACCATACAGGCTAAATAGACTAATCAGAAGTATGCAAAACAGTTTTAAACCTGCTTGTTGTTTTAGGTTCATTAAAAGAAAACATGCCAGGATTTTGGCAGAGTTGCTAAATAGACAAACTAGAAAAGGGAAGACAAAAGATTAATATTCTTGGTAACTCCAGTATTATTAAAAACCACAACAAAAAACTCAACCCCACTGTAATCATAGTCTGAGGATAGATTTTTGCTGAAAGTCATCTGTCACTTTCTTGAAAGGATAAAGCTTAATTCAGTTTCGTCAGGATGCCTCTGAAAATAGTTTCAAGACAGGCCTGATCAGAATGGCTAACAAAATGACATTCAGCAACTCACGTTTTCTTATTTTTGCTATACTTTAATTTATGAACTGTCTCCCTCCCTCCACACCCTGCACTAGAGAATGACACCACCTGATGCAGAAGTTTGTGTGTATATACATATATACACATACATACATAAATATATAATACTATACTATGCATACTTCTATTTATCAGTTATTTCTCTGGAGATAGACAGCATCTTTCTTCACAGGTCTTTCATAATTGATTTGAATGTTTATATTACTTAGAATACAGTTATTCACAGCTATTCTCTGAACAATATTGCGGTTACTGTATATAATGTTTTCTTCGTTCTGCTCATTTCACTCTTCATTATTTCATGCAAATTTTCCCATGTTTTCCTAACTCAATCTGCTCATCATTTCTTACAGTACAATAGCATTCCATCACATTCATATACCACACCTTGTTTTGCCATTCCCCAATTGATGGACATCCCTTTAATTTTCAGTTCTTTGCCTCCACAAAGAGAGTGGCTATAAATATTTTAGTATAGGTTTTTTTCCTTTTAACCTGATCACCTTGGGAAACGGATTTAATCGTGGTATTGCTGTATCAAAGGTTATATACAGTTTTATAACTATTGGGGACTAATTCCAAGTTGTTCTCCAAAATGGCTGGATTAGTTCACTGTTCCATCAATACTGTATTATTAGTGTCCCAATTTTTCATATCCCCTCCCGTATGAGATAATTATCTCAAAGTGGCTTTAATTTGCATTTCTCTAATCAATAGTGATTTCAAGTATTTTTTCATAAGACTATATAGTTTTGATTTCTTCATCAAAAAACTGCCTGTTCATATCCTCTGACAATTTATCAATTGGAGAATGACTAGTATTCTTAAAAATCTGACAAAGTTTTGAGATATGAGACCTTTATCTAAGAAGCTGTCTCAACATATTTTCTCCCAATTTTGTTTTCCTTCTAATATTGGCTACATTGGCTTTATTTGTACAAAAACTTTAAAATTTACCGTAATCAAAATTAGCCATTTTACATGTCATTCTGCTCTCTACCTTGTTTATTCATAAGTTCTTCTGCTATCTGTTAAGTCTGATAGGTAATATATTCTATGTTCTTCTAATTTACTTATGATTTGTTCTTTAACTCATTCTTTTTTATAAATTTATTTTTAGTTTTCAACATTTACTTTCACAAGATTTTGAGTTCCAAATTTTCACCCCATCTCGCCCCTTCCCCCACCCCAAGATGGCATGCATTCTGAATACCCCTTCCCCTAGTCTGCCTTCTCTTCTATCTCTCCCCCCATCTCTTATCCCCTTCCCCTTCTGTTTTCCTGTAGGGCAGGATAGATTTCTGTACCCCACTTCCTGTATTTCTTATTTCCCAGTTGCATGTGAAAACATTTTTTTTTAAACATGCGTTTTTAAAATTTTGGGTTCCAAATTTTCTCCCTTCCTCCCTCCCCACCCACCCTCATTGAAGAGGGAAGTAACTCAATATAGTGCGCAGTTATTCAAAACACTTCCATAGTAGACATGTTGTGAAATACTAACTCTATTTCCCTTAATCCTATCCTGCCCCCCATTTATTCTATTCTTTCTTTTGACCCTGTCTCTCCTCAGAAGTATTTGCTTCTGATTACCCCCTTTCCCAATCTGCCCTCCTCTCTATCATCTCCCTGCTCTCTTGTCCCCTTCCCCCCCTATTTTCCAGTAGGGTAAGACAGATTTCCATACTCTATTGAGTGTGTATGTTATTCCCTCCTTAAACCAAATCCTATGAGAATAAGATTCACTCATTCCCTCTCACCTTCCTCTGTTTCCCCTCCACTGTAACAGCCTTTTCTTTTTTTTTTGTGAGATAATTTACCCTGTTCTACCTCTCCTTTTCTCCTCCCAGTATAATCCTCTCTCATACCTTAATTTTATTCTCCAGATATGACCCCTTCATTTTCAACTCACCCTGTGTCCTCTATCTATCTATCTATCTATCTATCTATCTATCTATCTATCTATCTATCTACCCACCCATACATACATATAATTTTTTCCCTCCAACTACCCTAATACTGACAAAGGTCTCATGAGTTATAAATATCATCTTTTCATGCAGGAATGTAAACTAACTCACTCATTCTTTAAGATTAGGTTATTTAGTCTTCTATTAATTTTTAATCTGTGTTTTCATGGTCTCTTATCAAATGTATTTTTTATTACGTTATGACCAGAAAAGGATGCATTTAGTATTTCTGCTTTTCTACATCTAACTACAAAGTTTTATGCTCTAATATATGGTCAATTTTTGTAAAAGATACCACTGAGAAAAAGGTATATTCCTTTTTATTCCCATTCAATTTTCTCCAGGTATCTATCATATCTAGCTTATCTAAGATTCTATCCAACTCTGACTTCTTTCTTATCTTTTCGTTAGATTTATCTAGTTCTGAGAAGGGAAGGTTGAAGTACTCCACTATTAATAGTTCTGCTATCTATTTCCACCTGTAATTCATTTAGCTTTTCCTTTAAAAATCTGGATGCAACAACATTTGATACATATAGGTACAGCATTGGTATTACTTCATTATCTATGATACCTTTTATAATAATGTAGTTTCCTTGTTTATCTCTTTCAATTAAATCTATTTTAGCTTTAATTTTGTCTGAGATAATGATTGCTATCCCTCCTTTCTTTTTCTGCATCAAATGAACCATAATAAATTTTACTCCAGTTTTTTATTTTTACTCTATGTGTATCTCTCATTTTAAAATTTGTTTCTTATAAACAGTCAGAATCTGGTTTTTAACCCCTTCTGCTATCTGTTTCCATTTTATAGCCAAGTTCATCCCATTTACATTCAAAGTTATAATCACTAGCTGTGTATTTCCCTCCACCCTATTTTTCCTCATTGTTTATCCTTCTCTCCCTCTCTTTTTACCTTATCCCTCTTTCTTAGCAATGCTGTCATCTCAAATGCTCTTATTCCTTGTAGTTCCTCCTGCTGCTGCAAGCTTCAGCTCACCCCTCTGTCCTGGAACCAAAACCAGGGACTCTGCTCTCCTGTGAGTGAATACAGCCAGCAGGGCTCCTCTCCTCTTTGACCACTCACTGAGGTATCCTTCCTCCTCCTTGCCTACAGCAACCACCAGAGACCTATCTGGTCAGTATACCTGGGACCAGCGTCAAGCACCAGCAGAGGGCCCTGCAATCTTCCCCTGATCAGCTGTCTGACCTCTACACTGTCCATGGGACATAAGTTCCTGAATCTGAGGCTGCTGCAAACATAGCTGCCCCCAGGGCTTGTTGTTTGTGGATTTGCTGGGATCTGCTCCAGGTATCTGCACTTCAATCAGGCCATACCATCATCCTGGGAGGTCAGGTCTTTCCTAATGTTCTCCAAGTTGTTTTAGGTTGGACAACTGCTTTACCCCAACTTCTAATTATTTCTGGCTCTCTAAAGTCACTTGGAGGCACTATTTTAAATTATTTCTTGGGGAATTTGGGAGAACCACGTAATTTCCTATCTTATTCCACCATCATCCCAGAATCCTCTCCAGTAACTCACATTTTCAAAATCCCAAAGCTGTAGTATTCTTTAAGAACATTAGGGATAGGGACCAGACACCAAAGAAAAAAGTCACTGTCTTGTCCAAATTACCACTTTTTTCAATTTATTCTAATAACAATGCTGCTTTTGTTAGCAAAATCCAGAAATTGGCTTTCTCCTATGTTATTGTTTAACTATGTATCCAAAAATGATCAAATTTAGAAATAAAGAACCAGTTTGCATGAGCTGTTCTAAATTTTAAGATCTTTGATTTTTATATATCATATCAACTGTAAAAGCACTAGGTTTTTAATTACATAATGGCAAAAAGATAATTTTAGTGTGAGGAGACTCAGTAAGCAAACTAAAATTTTACCTTTTGCTTTTCTCTAAAACAAAACTAAAAATTCCAATCTGGTGTTTGAAAAAACAGAGGGTGGGAATTGTTTCTAACTAATAAAAGTTACTGAAATGTAGATTTCCCCCAGTTTAGGCACCTTAACAGAGGAATAAAGCCAATTATTTTCTTCCAACTGTAAAAAGACCCAGCTGCACAATCTGGAACTAAACATCACTTGCTAGTAATTACAGGGTACTGATTCTAAAATTCAGGGTGGCCCTTTAAGAGAGATCAGCCTGTCCATGAAAACAGCTTTGCAGAACAGCATACAGATATCCCTTATGCAGGAATAAAGCAAAAACAAACAAAAATTTTTAAAAACCCTGTAATTGCACTGAGGTGAATTTTTTTCACAGTTCAGACTCAATGCTATACAGGAACTAAAGGAAAACAAATAGACATTTAAAAAGGGAAGGAAACCAGAGAGGAGTTTTCTCCTAAAACCATTTTGCTTTGTACAAACTACTTATCATTGTGGCAAAATCATGTAAAAAGCAAATAAAACTCCAGAGATGGAAAATCCCACACAGAAGACACTTAAGATGTCTCTCTGTATCAGGGGTGGGGAACCTTTGGCCTCAAGGCCACATGTGGCCCTCTAGGTCCTCACCTGTGGCCCCCTTTGACTGACTCCAAACTTCACAGAACAAATGGATTTTTCACACTCTAAAGTCACTTTGAGGCATCCATCTCCATTATAAATATTGTATTCTGATTTAATTAGCTCAAATTTTTATGGATCTTGAAAAATGCTACATCTTTAATTTTGCCAATAAAATCTTGGTTAAAAAGTTCTTGAATAACCACCTTTACTTCCTGCCAAATTCAAAACCACCCAAATGGATTTGTTCTGTGAAGTTTGGATTTAGTCAAAAGGCCACACTTGAGGCCTCGAGGCCCCAGGTTCCCCACCCCTGTTCTGTATTTCTCCCACATCTTCCTAAAAAAGGATCATTTTAATGGTCAACAAGAACTTAGGAGTAACAGGGTGACCTGGGGTAAATTTTCACTGAAAAGAGCAAAATGCATTCTAATTCTGATTAATACACCTAGCTTTCCTCACTACTGACCTACAGTCTAATAATGCTTAAAAGGAGAAATTAAGTACTAGCAACAATATGTTGAATGTTTCAAACTAAGTAGATTGTTTAAGATGATTGTTAAATTTGATCTTGTAGTTTCAAGAAAAAGAGTTTACCAACTTATGCCAGCAAACATCTTCATGGTGGCAGGGGAAGGAGTTCCCGAAATTTTTTCAGGTCCACCTTCACCTCCTCCCATGGTTAAACGTAAACTGAATGAAACCACCATTACCACCAACAAAAAGAAGCGAAGGTAGAGTAACTATTGCTGTAACGATTTTAAGTAGAAGTCATCAATACTTTAATTAACATGAATAAAATAAATATCTGATTATCAAATTACCCTAAACTGATGCAGCCAATCCCTCTCTCCCACAATAAGATCTCTCTCTCTCTCTTTTTTTTGGCTAGGCAGTGGGGTTAAGTGACTTGCCCAGGGTCACACAGCTAGTGAGTGTTATGTGTCTGAGGCCGGATTTGAACTTAGGTCCTCCTGACTCCAGGGTCAATGTTCTATCCACTTTGCCACCTAGCTGCCCCCAATAAGATCTCTTTGAACGGAAAAAAATGGAATACAATGAAAAATTATATAAAATTACTGCCTACAAAATATGGTAGAACTTTTTTTCTCTACAGGTAAATAATCACAAAATGTAGTCTCATAGCAAGTTAAATGGAACTCAGGGAAATGGGGGTGTTGAGGATGGTAAACAGACATTAGTCATTTTCTCAGTCATTTAAAATCTAACTAGATGGAACACTCACTTGTCTTCTCTTACTCCATGACCCTCCTCCCTTTTTAAAACTTCACTCTGCTCATAGAATAGCCCCTCACAAAGCTACAAAGTTTGAAAACTCCACTATTTCTATGGGATCTATCCATCCATAACTCCTGACATGTTTTTCCTCTGCTCTGTTGTATAAGCTTCATAGACTCAAGTCTACTGCTAGCAACTGCTTTATGGTCACCTATCTACAAGTGGGAAACATCATCAGAGCCAGAAGATAAGATGCCAACTCTTTAGGAAGGGGAACTTACAGGGATTCATTCTCACATCTCATTCCTAAAGGTTCTTCTCCACCCTCAGGAAAGGAGGTGGGGAGTTGACAGGGGTAACAAGGAAGGCGAGGGAGTATAGATAGGTTTTGCAATGAAATGCTCATCCTCAAGAAAGACACAGCCAGGGATGCAGGCAATTCCTCAGAGGCTGCAAGTGGATTGGCTTACCTTGCAACACTAGCAGTGGGGGTATTGGTTCCTCTAGCACATGTGTGGGCCTGTGAGGATGTCAGTGGTACTGCTTCTGCTATTAGGGAGACCACCCAGGCTTAAGCAATCTGTGGTATTAAGAGCAAAATTACAGGCTACACTAGTGCTTCATAATGAATGTGGTGGAAAGCAAACCTGAAATCTTAGGTTTGAGTCTTGGCTCCAGCAGCAACAGGAGTGATGTGTGACCATAGTCAAGTTTTTTAACCTCTCTGGGTTTAATTTTCCTTACATGCAAATAGGAGTAGTGATGTTTTTCATTTTCTACCTCATAAGGCTGTTGCAAAGAAAATGGCTTTGTGAATCTTAAAGCACAAGAGAAATGTAAATTATATAAACTAGATTATATTGGCAGGGGGACTATGCCCTATGTTCAGAGTAATATGATTTTTTTTTTTTGGACAGTCCTCTGCCCATGTTTCAGTCTTTTTTCAAGCAAGGAATTATAAAAAGTTAACCAACCCCAGTAGGTGAATATAGTTTTGAAAGTTCGTTAGATAATTTTTCCTTTAAGAAAAATTTGAACTAGAGCAAATCTAAGGTGTCACAATCAGAGGTAAAGATAACGTAAGAAAACCTTCTGAGATATTGCATTCATGGCCTGTTTGCTGCTTTCTCATATTTTAACCTTAAGCTAAAAACACACACACACTCCTTATAAACCAAGAACATTATAACCATTTTATTTTTCTATATACTTTTAATTGTGGGCCCAACTATTTACAAAGGTTCTTCTAAAGAAAACAAATTAAACTTACATTCCTGTCTAAAGGTGAAGTATTCTGTGAGATGCCTGCATTCATGGTTGCCTCGAAGCAGAAATAACGTTCTGGGATGATGAATCTTTAAACTCCATAAGTACAGCACACACTATAAGATAAATTCAAGGATAGAATGACATTCAATAAATTATTTATGAGGGAGAAAAGTCCATAGGAAATATTAGAAATGCTGAGGAGAGTTCCAAAAATTCCTATTAATATGTTTCACAATATTCTAAGGAAATGAGCATTGAATACTAAGTCTAATTTACAAACTAGACAACTAAAGTGTTAAAGACTAGGTAAATAGTTCAAAACCTAATAATGAAGCTCAAAGTCTAAGCTAGAATGAAATCCTAGATTTCTTAACTACCAGTTCTAGAATTCATAGCAATACAATTTATCCTTTTTGAGTTCTTCTAAAACAATAGAAGAAATATATTAAAAAAATCTATATTTTAGCAGTCACTTCAAATAACTGGCAGATACTATCACCTCCAACTGAAACTAGTCTTATAGTCATGGTAGAGTAGATATCTGCCCTCCTTCAATAGCATAAAAAGCAAAATTACCCATTTTTAAGGCAGCTTCCTAGTTTTACATAAGTTTAAAGGGAAGAAAGCAAATAAAACTGGAATAGTAGGTTTCTATTCTAAAAGTTTTATTTGGAATTTCCAAAAGTGCAAGGTACTAATCAGGTATAGGACAAAACTAATGTTAAAAACAAACACAAGTTCCCTATTTTATTTAAATGCTGTGGTGTACGTCCTGTAAGCAAATACCAGGCTTCCTTTACTATTCATCTTTTCACACATCAATGACCAAGCTCTTTAAAATTTATTACCACCCACATTTATTCTACCTACAGATCTCTCACATATTTCTTTGTTAAGTACACATATCAAAGATGAATAAAATAGTGGGTCTTAACTTTAGGAACAAAAGAACTTTTGCTGTTAGTTTCCTCAGGAATTTATATATTAAGACTCCTGTTGAAGTTTCGTCATCCATAATCACCATTATGTTTTTTCCCCATGACTACAAACTATTACGCATCATTTTAAATGGGATCAATTTTTTTTTGCTTTCATTTCACTTTTATTTGCATTCTAATGTTATATTTACTCCCGTGCCATAAGCTTTTGTTTCTTCAGTTTCTTCTGAGATTCTTTTTCTTTTGAGCAACCTCCTCTTCTGGTTTAGGAACAATTTGTTCCTTTTCAGTAAGTAGCATCTCAATATGGCAAGGAGAACTCTTGTATGGGTTGATCCGCCCATGAGCCCTGTAAGTACGCTGTCACATTTTGGGAGCCTTGTTAACTTGGATATGATCAATGACAAGAGAATTCACATCCAAACCCTTTAGTTCTGCATTATTCTCTGCATTTTTAAGTATATGCAGCAAGAATTCAGCACTCTTTTTGGGCCAATGACCCTGCGTCCAACCCCACTGCTTAGCCTGGGCACACCTGCCAACTGCACCATTATATCGCCTGAAGGGCACACATTGTTTCTTCAATGTGACATCTTCCAAATACTTGGTAGCTTTTTGGATATGTATGCCCTTGATAGCTTGGGCTGTTTCACGGGTGTGAAGTGGACCCGGAGATTTGAACCCCTTGACTTGCATGATTTTTTGGGGTTCTCTGGATCAAGAAAGTACCTCACCATTTTAAACGATTACCTAGGAAGGGTCAAGGGAAGAGCTGGGATCAATTTTTTAAAGGCCACACCACATCAAACACACATTTTAAAAAGAGAAATAACAAAAGGTCTGTCATGGTTTTAATTTTCCAAAAAATCCTTAAATTTATATCATAGAAACTGAGACTATCAAGAGCCAATTTGTAGCAACGAGGAACAAACTGGTTACACTGACATCTAAAGAGGAACAACTATACGCGACCAAGGTGATTATAAAGAATAAATCAGCTAAAGAAAACATGGCTCAAATGAGTCAGTGTCACAAAAGGGAGTGGAAAAACTGTGCTTGGGTGTTGCATATTTCATTTTTTTCCCCACTGGCAGTACTTAATAAAATGCTTATTGATTGATTTTCACAACTGAGGATTAATAACAACAACAATAGCTTTAATTTATGTAGTGCTTTAAGATTTACAGAGTACTTTACATAGTTAAATCACTCGATATCATTTCCTTTACCGTTATACTCAATACTCACAAATACAACCCTGTCAGGTAGGTGCTATTATTATCCCCATTTTACAGATGATAAAACAGAGACCTACTGAGGTCAAGTGAATTGGCTACGGTCACATAGTAAGTGTCTGAGACTGGATCTGAACTCAGGTCCTTCTGACTCTAGGTCCTACATAGGAAAATGAATTCAAGTTTGACTGTGAGCCATATAAATATATTCCAACAGAACCCCATAAAAAACAATAACAGAGGCACCAAATCTATGTAAAATAAGAAATGGGAAAACAAATCCATCATCCTATCCTAGAGAAAGATGTCACGCTTACATAATGCCTTTTTCTTGAAAAGAATTTAAAACTTCTATTTTAAAACAATTTAAAACTTCTAGGATATATTAATACCTAATCACTGATTTACCAGTCTTGCTAAAGAAAAATCTGAATAATCCAATTTTTAACAATAAGTAGTACAGTTAAGATTAAGTCTTTTCTTTTCAAGAAAAAAGCACTTAAAAAAAAAGAAAATAGCACTATATAAACATTCCTCTCATGCTTAGTATCTCATTTGATCCTCCTAACAATCTGGAGAGGTAGGTAAGAGAGGTATTTTTTTCCCTCAACAAAGGCAGTGACCTCCAAACTTTCTGACTGCACAACTCATCAATAAAAAGATTTGGGAGCATGCATATAAATGAAATACACATACTATTGTAATATATACATATACATATACTATACATTCTAAAGCACACAAAAACAGAAACCAAGGATGAGATAAAGATGAAATCAATAAACCTCTAAAATGATAATTAATACTATTTTTAATGAAGACAATGTGATTGAATAGACTTCATCATTCTAGAAAACTCGGAATAACACTTTATAATAAAGCAGTTCAAAGGCCTAGTTCTAAGTTCAGTGTATTTTAAGATTTGGATTTAATGCCCATCATAGAGCAGTTCTCAAAGAGAAGATCCAAATGGGAGAATTGCATCATTAGCTGTGTTTAGAAATCATCATTTTAGTTTTTAAATCCCATCCATCAATTACACAAAAGTTTTTGGTGAAATGTATCTAGTATATTTCCATCTTTCCTAACATCATTCATTCTTTTTACAAACTATTCAGAAAATGTTATACTTATAAATATTAACCAAATGAGTAAATGGGTTAAAAAATTCACTGTAAGTCTTTGTTTGGAAGATTCTGAACTATGTTAGAAAATTTTGATTCTAAGTTTAAATATGCAGATAGGAAAGTTTTATAGATGACATAGTTATATCATTTTACCAACGAAATCGCAAAATTATGGAAACATTTCCAAACATTCATTTTTCAAAACGTCCATTTCATAGAAAAAGTTTCTTTTTTGAAAAGTAGGTACTTTCTTATTATTAAAAAGTCACCTTTTTTCTTTTTGGCTAATTTCTAGTCAGATCTTATTAGGTCATCATTCTTACCTTTCAACATAGTTGATAATAAGCTCATACAGTAGAAATATATGAGCTCTGCCATTTGTTTGTCCACTTCTGCTTGAAATAGTATTATCTCCAATATGCACATTGCTTTGCAGAAATCTTTTCAAGCCATTTCTTCACTTTGTGAGAGTTAGTTTAGTTAGGCCAAGGCCTGTCAATTTCACCTCTGCAACATCTCTCCTCTGACACTGTTACCACTAGTATAGGCCCTAAGACCTGCCTCTAGTCTCTCTCTATTTCAACTGATCCTCCATTCAATCGATGAAGTGGTTTTCCTATAGGGCAGATCTTACCACATCATCCCCTTACTCAAGAAACTCCAGTGACTCCCTATCACCTTCAGGATTAAACACAAAATACTCTGTTTGGCATTTAAAGCCCTTTGTAACCTACTGATGGGCGTTTATTAAGTGACTTCTCTGTCCTAGGTCCTGGAGATACCAAGACAAAAATAAAACAATCCTTGATTTTAAGGTATTTAGATTGTATCTGGAGCTGAGCTTTGAAGAAAGCTACAGATTCTAAGGGGGCAGAAGTGAGAGAAGAGACCATTCCAGGAATTATGGTCAGCCTGTGCAAAGGCACAACAGAAGGACTGCAGAATAGTGTGTTTAAAGAACAGGAAGAAGACTGATTTAGACAGACCATTTAATGTGCAAAGGGGAGTAATGCATAATGCATCTTGAAAAGCAGGCTGAAGCCAGATTTGGGAGGAGTTCAAAGTGCTAGAGAAGTTTATATTTGCTCCCAAAGGCTACAGGGAACTCCTGGAGCTTCTTAAACAGGGGAGTGACATGATGAGGCCTGTCACACATATACATTATCTCAGTAGATTACCCTGCCTCCTACTTAGAAAATCAAAGTTCCCCAATCTTTTTCAACAAGGTTAATGTTGAAGAGCGCTCTCTCTCTTTTTTTTTGGTAAGGCAATAGGGGTTAAGTGATTTGCCCAGGGTCACACAGCTAGAACGTGTCAAGCATCTGATGCTAGATTTGAATGAAGCTCTCTTTTTTAAAAAAATTATTGTTCCTTCCCACTGTCTCCCCTACATCCCTAATAAAGCTCTCCCATATAAGAAACAAGTGTAGTGAAGCAAAAACTTTTGCCTTGTTCTGCACCCCTGATCCATCACCTCTTTGTTGAAAGAGAGGACTTTATAATTTGTCTTCTGAAATTATGATTAGCCACTGCATTGGCCGGAGATCTGAAATGTTTCAAGGTTATCTTCCTTCACATTACTGCACTCACAGTGTAAACTGTCCTCCTGGTTCTGCTTGTCACTGAGTCAATTCATATAAATTTTCCTTATTTCTCTGAATTATTTATGTTGGTTGTTTTTATGATGTAACAATATTGCATTAAATTCTATTTTACAATTTGTCCAGCCATTCCCCAAATGAATGGGCACCTATTTTCCTTCTAGCTCTTTGCTACCACAAATATGTCCCTCGACACTGCTGTGGACCTCCTC